CAAGAAATTCTCGCCATCGGCCAGCATCGAGGCCTCCTTGTCCAACAGATAACGCTCGGCTTGGAAGGTGCGGGCTCGGACTTGGTTGAGCATCCCTTCTTCCCTCTCAAGTCGTTCACGGATGACAAGCACATCCTCAAGGGAGAAATCGCTGGTGTCTTGCTCTTGCAAGAAATACATACTCTTCAGTTCCTCCATGCTTTGATTGAGAAGGTCGATAGCGTTGTGCCCTGCATCGTCAGCGGGTACTTCAAGCACGAATTCGTTGATTATGGACGAAACTCTTTCGGTAACATCGTTCGTAGCAACTTGGAGATTGAGCATGTCATATGCATAATCGCAAGCTTCTAGGAGAGCGCGTGAGCTTTGAGCTGCCTCACTCTCCAAAAGTTGTCTCTGCGGCCACATTCGTTCCACGTACATGGCGGTCTCAAACCACGGAGGGATCTCCACAGCCCAGACAAACGCCGGCGCTTGTACCGGTGGCGGAGCAAATTGCGCTTGTGGAATCAGGTTCGGTCGTGCCTGATAGATGCGCTGCCACATTGGAGCGGTCAAGTGATGTGTGTACTCCACAAAAGAAAGTCTTGGATCTGGTGGCACCGCCGTGGGCTCTCTGCACAAATAACCTTGGAAAAGTCCCATAATCTGAGGAAAATTTGCTCGTGAATTGTCAATACTCCACTTGAAACGCACAGTCCATATATCCTTCAGGGCTTGAGTCGCCTCTTGAGTCGCCTCTAGGTTGGTGGTGAAAGTTTCGATCTCGGTCTGAATACGATCCATGGGTGCCAGGTAATCAATTCCCTCGCTTGCGAAATCCCGGACGATTTCGAGGGAGGGGTCATTGCTGAGAGTATCTGTGGACTGGGAGAGGTTGTCTCTGAAGAGCATCATGAGTCGGATGCGATTCTCGCGCTCTCCGTGCAAGGCGTGACAGAAGAGACCGCAGAAATCGTCCTGTGCAACCAGTGACAAGTTAGATGGCATGGCGCGGGCGAAATCTCGGATTTCTTCGATATCTTCCTCATCCACCAAATCTGCGTCTATTGCGTGCGCGAAAGCCACCAGATGGAAGCAGATTCTCTGCCACCATGGGGGCGCAATCTGCATGAGCCACATCCAGTCAATTTGGTCCATTTTTGTTTTGAATGCTTCTGAGTTACACGGTTGTCAAGCTGCGAAACATGAGTTATTGGCAGGTCTCTCAGCGGACCAAAGATCGAGACAGCATTAAGTACTTGTGAGGTCTACCACTTCAACAAAGATGGTATCCGGATCTATTCATAGAGCGTGGACAGTCCTCCAACAAACCGGTTTTCAAAGGTCTTTGATGAAGCAGACTATGAATGAAACAATGATCGATGATGAAAAGCACCAACGAGATACATTGCTCATTGTTCGTGGACAGGGCGAGAGTCCGAAATTGTCTCTTTGTTGTCGGAGTCAGTAAACAATGGCTCGCAGGGCGTTCGATAGGACTATTCTGGGAGGGGCAATGCCTAGGCCCGTCCTCGCCAGCCATGGCTTTGTGATGGTGTCGACTTTTGGGGGGACCATTGGGCTCAACTCGGCCAGACAGGAATCGATTCTGTGCATGATGGGCATCACAGAACCTCGCGATTTGGTTCTATGATGAAGAGATGCTGCAAGAGCAGCATGGTCGGCGATCTGGAAGGTTATATAGAGGGGAGAGAGAGATATATATATATATAGAGCTTGTTAAGCTATCTAGCAGTGGTTAGAATCCACATGATGGTCCAACAGTAAACATTGATGTTGCGGACAGTGTTGGAAAAGACATACTAATGATACTTGTGCTGCACTAGCTCATACGGAGCTTGAAGTCCTCAAGTAGGCATGTGTGGCAGCAGCCTAGGACTATTGCACATCTGTTCATGCTTGTGAAACTTTATGGTGGCAACAGGTCATCGACTGCTGATTTTGAGGTCTAGAGCCGGATCAAAAGTGTCATATCTGCTGATTCAACGTCTGTTGAATGCTTTCGAGGGGAGGGGAAGCGCCATGGGAAATAGAAGCCTTCAGCCTTTGTGCCACCAGGGCGGTCGGGTTGCGCCCCAGTGAAGGGACACATTTTTAGCCCAGAACCAGTGTAAGGGCCGTTGACAAGGAAGACTACTCCAGTCTGCCCTGAGTGCCGCACGCCGATCCATGGGCCGCAGTCTCCTTCAACCTTCCAGAGTCTCCCAGGGTCTCCCAGGGTCTCCCAGGGTGAACTGACTGGGGGCCATGCCTATAACTTTTCTGTGGTATGCACCTCACAGCTGACGCGCTCTTCGCGGCTCAAGTGTCACGGAAGAAGTATGTTGATTTGAGGATTCGGTGCAAAATCCAACAAGGATGAAGGACAAATTTCTTTGTATGTTGGGCTGGCAGGCTGGGATGAAGTTGCGGTAAAGCTGAATCTTTATTGATTGTTCGTCTTGAAGAGGTTAGCGTCTTGGCAATATTGGCATCTAGCCTTATCAGGCGCTGAGGTCGTGTTCCCGGAATATCAATTTCAACCTTTGTCTCCAGACCGGAATTCTTTTGTTCGTTTTGTGTCTTCTTCTCAAGATATCACTTTGTGATGCGTATCTTTACGGACAAAAAAGCCCTTGTTCTTTTCCTGGACTTTCGTGATCCGCGACCACTCTGCACGACAAGTGGCGGATTGAGCCTTGTGCCCATGACATGTTTCCTGTGGACGTTACCGAAACAGACACAAGCCGTGGACTTCATGACAACGAGTGATGAAGGATCCTGGAGAGTGATCTGAGAGCTTAATAAAATATTATACCGTAAGTGTCGTGGAAACTCTTGTACCTCCGGATGTGAGCCCCCATTACAGACGGGCGAGGCTGAATGTGAAAGGGGCTGCCTTTCCCCCCTGGTCCTTGAAACTCACTCAAAGCATATGGAATTTTGGTCTTTCGCAAAACTTTGGACAAATCACTCCAAGACTGTGCGTGGTGGTTCAACACCATGTTACCCATGAGCTCTCTCCTTCTGTCACTTTGTTTGACTCTTAGTCTTGTTTGTTGCAACGCGTGGAGTGATAAATCCACAACATGTCATATTTGTCCCAAGGCGAAGCACAGATTGTCACGACACGGCGTGAGTGACATGACGAAACTCTACATAAATATGTCTGAACCACATCATCCATCAATCCTCCCATCCTTGGTTCCCCATCTACCTTGCGCTAGGCACGCACGAAGACCCCCTATCGTCAATCAACCTACCTGTTCGTAAAGACTCGAAAACGGCAGCACCGCTTATTTGATATGCCCAGACGCGGCCGCCCACCAGGCAGGCGACCACGTCCGCCTCGCGACCGCAGCTGCAGTACGTGTGGCGAGAACCACCAGGGAGATGGAGCCGGTCAACTGCCAGGATACTTCGGTCACGGCAACCTGGGCGAGGTGGAAGGACCAGAATTTTACCCCGATCCTGTATCTGGATGGCCAAATGGCCCTGAGCGGGGCGGCAGAGGAGGTCGCGGAATAGGTTTCCGAGGAAACAACAACAATAACGCCAATGTCAGTGCTAACGCATGGAGCGCTGCCAACGGCAGTGGCTTCGAGGTGTGGAATAACGGCCGGCTGGTCGCCAGCAGTGGCGACCCCGTGACCCGCGGCGCAGCAGGTCAGGGTCCGGAGGACTTCGCCTTCGACTTCGACGACGAAGACTACTACTCTGATGATCTCGACGGTTTTGGAGGTGGTTTATTCAGAAGAAGACCGCTTACAGATTCTCGAGACGATCCTCTTGGTAGGGGACCTCGCCGGACACGACGTCGGTTTCCCCCGGGCATGGAATTTGACGATGTCCCCACCTGGCTCTTTGACGAGTTCGACGACGACGACTACGACGATGATTTTGATACGATGGGCCCTTTCGGCGGTCGACCGCCACGAAGGCGAGGGGGAGGACCTCGACGAAGTGGTGGTGGCGGCGGAGGTGTCAGAATCACGCGACACGGAGGGGCTATCGTGGTCGACAACGAATTCGAAGCTCCGCCTCGCCGAGGTGGAGGGTCAGGTGGCCATCGTATAGATCCTGACGAAGGCTACGATGACGATGATGATTACAGTGACTTGGACGATGATTTTGTGGGAGGCGGCTTTGGAAGGGGGGATGGCGATCGCGTGATGCGGCTCTCGAATGGAGGGACGCTACGTCTTCACCAGGCCTGAGAGGCCTTCACATCGATGGCACTTCTTCATGGAGGTATCTGAGCTACGAAACCTTGGACAGTCTGTGCCCAATGAGTGAGAGAGGGAGGGGGGAGGTGTTGGTTGAACATTACATAGCGAGTTCGGGGCACGGAGGTGAGAGTTGACTGGTTGTTCGATGGGGTGCTATATCCATCACGACTGGGCGTGACGAGCACCACAAACGACCGTTGCTCCAAGTAGCTTTTGGAGCGGCGACACAGTTGGAAGCACTGTTAACACAGACTCTGCGCTTTTGAAACCACTCTGATTCTCGAGCAGGCTAACGACTATGCACTATACATACGGACATCCAAGTTGGTGGTCGTGAACCCGCAGTCTGATCCTCTGCTATTTATCTATGTACGTACCGAGTACATTGGTGATCAGCTTTGCTGTGCCCATTTTGCCAACTCCAATACCTCGATTACATCCAATTCAAGCAAATCCACAATTTGAAACCATTTTCTGTAAAACCCAATGTGCCTTTGTTGACCACCCCCGTTCCCATTATTGCATTATTGACCACCCTGTTCCTGCTGGTCAGAGACTTCGATACTCTCTCAAAATGATTTATCAGACAACCAGACCCCCTCCCGACTCGGTAGCGGGGATGCATCGTGCCCAACACTGAACACTGCCAGCCGTGATCGTATTACCAACCGTGTTTCCCTCAAAATGCACGCGTAACCTTGTAAACTGAACAACTCAACACATTCTCCAGACCAACATAAAACAAGAACTTTGGGGTTTGAAATCTCGCTGATTGGTGATGGAGACCATTCATTGCCACAATTTTGCCCTAGCATATGATATGCCAACATAGAGCATCATCACACAGAGCGGTGGGCAGAAGGTGCAAGCGGTGATTGCTGACGCAGCGACGCCGGTAATGATGGCTGTGGTGGACCAAGGAGGGCTGTCCGCGACTGCATCGGCAGGTTTCGCCGCAATGAGATCGTCTGATGCAAGCTTGTTGGTCTGCGAGATGTCAATGGTTAGTTGTTCGTAGCGAGTATCCTTAGTAGAGTCCTGTACAAGTGCGACGGGACTGAAGACATTGTTCTCGTCGTTGTCCTCGATAGCTTCCTCCACGACAGGATCTTCTGGTGTATGCTCGTTTATATCCGAGTTGTCAAGAGCTGGTTGATCGTTGGGGGAAATGTCCTTGGTAGCGTCCTGAACCAGTGCTCCAAGGTAGATGACACTGTTCTCGCCGTCGTTCTCAGTTGGTTCCTCCACAATGACCTCTTCTGGTGTAGATTCACTGGTATCTGAGTCATCAAGAGCTGGTTGTACTTCGATAGAGATGTCCTTGGTAATGTCCTGTGCCAATGCATCAGGGCTGAGGACAATATTCTCAGTGGTGTTCTCGGTGGGTTCCTCCGTAACCAGATCTTCTGATGAGCAGTCGTTTAGATCCGAGCTATCAAGGACTGGTTGTTTGTCGTTGATCTTGTTGATCTCGTCGTTGCTCACAGAAGGTTTCTCTGCAACATGATGGTCCGATGTAGACTCGTTTGTATCGGTGTCATCAAGAGCCGGTTGTTCGTTGTTGATGTCGCTCTTCTCGTCGCTGATCTCCTTGTTGTTCTCAGCAGGCTCCTTCGCCGCCAGATCTTCGGGCGAGAACTCGATCGTATCCGAGTTGTCATTGACCTCGTCGTTGTTCTCAGAAGGTCTCTCTGCACCAATATCTTCTGATGCTAGCTCATTCATCTCCGAGTCGTCATGAGCTGGCTGTTCGTCGGCGATCTCGTTGTTCTCGTTGTTATTCTCGTTGCGGTTCCCAGTAGTTGGTTCCTCCGCGACCAGATCTTCCAGTGGGGACTCGTTCACATCCGAGTCATCAGGGACAGGGTGTTCTTCGTTGGGAGTATCCTTAGGAGCATCCTGAACCAGTGTGGTGTGGTCACAGGCACTGGCCTCGCCATCGTTTTCAGTAGTGTCTGCCACGATATCTTCTGATGGTGACTCGTTGATCTCCTTATTGTTCCCAGTAGTTTCCTCCGTAACCAGATCTTCTGATGGCAACTCGTTAATACCCGAGTCGTCAAGAGCTGGTTGTTCGTCGTTGGGAATGTCTTTGGGCGCATCTTGGGCTGGTGTGGCAAGGTCAACGGTACCGCTATCAGCATCGTTCGCAGTAGTGTTTGTCACAACATCTTCTAATGGTGACTCGTTGATCTCCGGGGTGTCAAGGACTGGTTGCTCGTCGTTGGAAGTATCCTTGGTAGAGTCCTGGATCGGTTCGGCAGCACTGATGACACTATTCTCGTTATTGCACTCAGCAGTGTCCGCCACCTTGCTACTCTCAACACCGTCCTGGTCAACAGCGGCTTGGTCAACACTGCTGACGACATCACGCTCGGCGGGAAACTCTTCAACGCTGTTCACACAACAATCAGCGGACTCTTGGACTGCGACTGGCTTGGGCTCCCAGTCCCACTTGCCACGCACTCGAACGACCCACTCAAGACGATGCATCTGCATGAAATCCTTCAATTGGGCTGGAGAAGGCCACCTGCCGAGGAATGCAACGGGGTCAGGTTGTTGAATGAGGAACAGCCATCTCTGCTTGTTGACATGTTTGGCATCGTCGACTTCCACACCACGGATGAATTCCTCCAGAGTCTCGCCACTCCAGCGCAAGAAGCAAGACTGCATCGGATCCTCGCATTTGACTGGAAGTGAGACGGCACGATTCTTTTGGTGCGTGTCGTTGTCGATCTCAGAAGTCTTCACCTGGAGCGGGTCTGACGCGTGTCTGAAGCGAAACGACCGAAGTTCACTTGGTGGTTGTGGTGGTGGTGACTCAGCCTTAGCAATATCACTGTCTGTTCCCTGGAATTTCAAGGCAATACCAGTATCAATGCTTGCGTCAGCCTTTGCACAGTTTTCACTCGGCATGTTGTTGTCAATTCGGGAGGTGGCGTCTGGTTCATTCTGGATAGTGTCACGCGCGACAGTCTTTCCCTCACTTGGGCCAACTTCTTCGGACTGGACTGGACTGCCAGGCGTCTCATTGTTGCAGCCACCGGCACCTGGGAGAGGCAAACTAGTACTGGCACTCTGAGTTGGGGCAGGGGTAGATGGATGCTTGGTTGGCCAAGGTATACTCATCAATCGTTTCAATCTCTCCTCTGCAGGGGTTTGTCTCGGCACTTCCTTCACAGCTTCAGGTGTTTCAAAAGGTGGTGGAAGCTTTGCAGACCAATCACCCACGTCATGAAATTGCTTGACTAGAGCACGATGTTGCAAGACTTTCACAGAGGAGTCAGTGGCGGCTTGACGTTTACACAACTTGTTGACTTGCTTCAAGTAGCGGAGAACAAGACGTAGATTTGCTACGACGAGGTCTTCGTCATCCTACATATCCATGAAGTTAGTGAGTCGATTCATAAATAGTCACACGGCAGAAGCAGGCCTCATAACGTTAAATCACAAGAGATGGACAAGACGTCATCTAGAACATTGCAGTATATGGAGGCAACCTACAGTAACCATGGGTGGTATCTCTGGGAGCATGAATGACCGATCAGGAAGTTCAGCGATGAACCGGCGTGTCTGCTCACGCAGTGTGTTGACAAACTGGGTGACGTTTGCTGAAGACATCTTGATATGAGGATGCTAAGATAGAGGGAAGAGACCAATATCTTTCAAAGCTGTGAGGACTGCAAAGATGAGTGTCGATGTTGTCTTCTTTATTTGAATGATAGAAGAGACCTGAAGAAGAAAGTATTAAAGATCAAAGGTAGGACGGATATATAAACGACGCGATGCGGCAGGCTAACACACTGCCTTGGACACACTGCGTGCACATCCCAACGTCTTGGCATTGGTAATAGGCAGAGGCGCAAGTCAGAGTGATAGATGTCTGACGCGTTTGTAAACAGAGGAGTGCAGAATGGTAGAGTGCTATAGTGAAAGAGAGTGAAGCTGGGTCGCTGGGGCACACCGGGAGGAAAACAGACAATGAAGCGTCCGGCGATAAAACTGACGAAGAAGCCGGTTATAGCAACACCAGGTGCCCATGTAATGGAATAATCACATAAACAGCTTTTATTAGGATAGAGAGACGCATTATTGCTTCTTAGTGGGAGGAGAGACCTGCAGGCTTGCACAAGGCTGTGTCTCAGGAACTGCTGTTTGACCAAAAATAAGGTTCTGGACGCCTCCATTATCTACGAGGTCGCAAAAATCAGAGGGCAAACTATCGATATTTGTCTAGATGTCAACAGCGAAGAGAATCATACTGCTTTAAGAGGAGAGAGACTCTTCAGTGAAAAAGGGCGACGTCTGTTGATATGCCGGAATAGGAAAAGTATGTGTGGCACGTGAAATGATAGTGTGGCCCTACTATGACGTAACATTCCTCCAGCCCTTGTTCACGTGATTATTTCCTCCCTTTGCCCATTCCAATCTCAACCACCAAAAGGCTCATCACTATTGTCACCACAGATATTTATGCTAAAGCCTTAGCGGAAGCGCAGGGTAAATGCCCTCTAGTCTCTTCACAACATTGTTGTGCCATGTCTCCCAGATGGCTTATTATGTCGAGAATGCGACATACTCCGACACATCGCCACAAGGTTGTCTCCTTTTCAGCGACGATCATCTGCAAGGCTCTTCATTTTCGCACAATGACGACAGTGGCAGTGCCAGCTTTACGCACCGCCAACCTTGATATACCTTTCCTGTGATGGCTTCCAGTCTATTCAGCCTCTATCTTCCAAACCTCGATTCCCTAACAGATGGATGAACCAAGCGCCGGCACTGAACATACTGACCACGATGCCAGCAGTCCTCACGGTCCTAGTACGCCGCGGCCGAATGGTGTAATCAATATCCCAAAGCCTGAAAAGGCAAATCAATACATCCACGAGGATGAGGAGGATGCTGTAACAGATTTCAATGTGAGTGCTGCTGGTCTCTTGCCATAACCAAGTGGATTGTCTATATTCGAGTGATGCTTAAACAATCCACTCATCAATCCTCCTAGGCTCCCATTAGCTGGTGGATGGTGTCGACATTGTTTCCGCTCATCGCTGGGACATTCGGACCCCTGGCCTCAACTTTCAACATTTGTGCCCTTGCCATTGACTGGCGGACGACTGTCAGCTCAAGTTCGACGGAGTCAGAGGGCACACACATTTCCGATCCCCGCTGGCTCCTCTCTGTCAACGGGGTCAGCCTCGCCATTGCCATCCTTGCGAATCTAGCACTGTTGGCTCAAATGACGGACCGAATCTCGCACCAACGAGCTTCTCCCATCACCATTGCTGGCTGGTACACCAGTTCCCTGCTCCTGCTAGGCATAATTGCTGCAACTCCGAAACAATTGCCGTCGCCGGCCGACACTTTAGCAACATACTCTCAAGCATTCTACTATGCCATCTTCGCTTGCGTTATTTATTTCATTCTCGCGTCCATGCTTCTCGTCACCCACATCAACCTGCGATACCGTGCGCCACAGTTTAGCCGATCATTCAAATTGACCATGTCTCAACGCTCGCTCATGCTCCAGACTATCCTCTTTGTCAGCTACCTACTTGCCGCAGGCGCAGTCTACTCTCGAATCGAAAACTGGGATTTCCTCGATGCCGTCTACTTTGTCAATGTGACTTTGTTTACAATTGGACTCGGAGACTACCATCCTGTCACACATTTGGGGCGGTCGTTGTTCTTTCCCATGGCGATTGGCGGTATTCTTTTTGTCGGTCTGATCATCGCTTCAATCCGCACGCTTGTCCTCGAATCGGGCTCTCGCAAAATTTCCACTCGAATGGTAGAGAAGGCACGTCGCAAAGTGCTCACTTCAGGCAATAGTGAGACTACTAAGCTCGCACCTCAGGGCTCCGGATGCCAAAAACTCGATGGCGATCCTCGTGGGTCGGAACTCGATCGCCGCAAGCTGGAGTTCCAAATCATGCGTGACGTCCAGAAACAAGCCGCACGCACCAACCGGCTGATCGCCCTTTCGATTTCCGGCACATCTTTTTTCATCCTATGGTTCATTGGCGCAGTGGTTTTCTGGCAAGCGGAGTTTGCCACTGGCGGGGAAGATTGGTCGTATTTCGAGGCTTTGTACTTCACCTATGTCGCTCTTTTGACGATAGGATATGGCGACTTTTACCCTCAAACAAATTCTGGCAAGCCTGCTTTTGTCTTCTGGTCTTTGATTGCACTTCCGACACTGACCGTCCTGATTGGCGCGATCGGGGACACCATCTCCGATATCGTGGCTTCTACAACACTATGGCTCAGTAAACATGCACCTGAGAGCCTGAGTATACTAAGGGGGACAAAGGCAGCGGCAGAGAAGAAACGGAATCGACAAGGCGCTTTCCAGGAAGCAAAGCCACCAGGGTTCATGGACGATGAAGCTGCTCTAGAGTACGATTTTGACGATCCGAACGTCGCCAAGGTGATCCAGGCACTGGGTGGGCGGGAGCAAAACAATGCTCCGGGAACAGATGCAAGGCCAGAAGACGAGAAAGAAGCGCAGGCACTCTTGTCTGCATACAGACTTCACATACTTTTGCGCGAGATGCAGAATGTCGTGCAACACCTCGATGCGCAACCCCCGAGGAAATACACGTACGAGGAATGGACGTGGTTTCTGAAACTCATTTACGAGGACGAATCGTTTCCAGTCGGCCATAGACACCCGTGGGAATACGACGCCAGTGTTGCTGCTCCAGTGAGGGAGAAGGATGACCAGAAGTGGAGTTGGCTCGGACAAGAAAGCCCTCTAATGAGCATGGAGGACGAGCCTAAATGGGTGCTGGCGCGGCTTCTTGAGGTGGCGCGGCGAGGCAGCAAGAAAAAGGGGGACTTTTGGTATCATGTTTGGATGCAACAGCAGGAGAGGAACAGCACCGACGGCAGCAGGCACTCCAGAAGAAGCAGCACTCCGAAATCGAGCGAATGAAAGCTGGCGAGTCCTTTCCCAACTGGACTGTCGAGGAAATGCTGTCAGAGAATACGAATGTGACGCACACTAAATGTATGTTGCATTCTCGCGGCTACCTTGGATGTAACAAACCAACAAGCCGACCTTTTCTCTTTCCAACCAGCAATTCATTCGCGATCCAAATATTTTGTCTCTCGCCAGATCCTCTCATGCACAGCATTCTTTCACACTCTCCTAGATCTTCAGTCTAGCCCGACTGTTTGACCTTGACGGACATGCTACGTAACGATACCACAGAGCCTTGCTAATAAGGAATCCCCAGCTCATCAGTTCCTTTCCACGCGCCACAGACAGTGGTCATATGACTTCGAGCTCAATCGTTTGCATTTGTTGTTGCAATCCAGGCACTCCATTTCGCCGGCTATCCATGCTTTCTTCCGAATCGGGCAAATCGCGCCGCTTTCTCGCTGATGTTCTTTGCTCGCTCATGTCGCGAAGGGCTCCCTTGTCACTTGCGCCTTTCGGACAAACGCCGAGAAGCAGAATCGCTCAGGATCAAGGCAGGCGAGACCCTATGACCCTAATACTCGAAAGGAACGGCCTAGAGAAGGTCAACAACGCCAGTACAACGACCAAGATCACGATGGTACCAAAACTGACGCGACTCCTAGCCTGCTGTGGCTTCAACGCCTCGAGTTGCCCTCGGAGATCAGAGTCACAGCAGGTGATGAGATATTGAAGGTCGTCGTCTTGAGATGGTGCTTCTCCTTGGTGATCTGAGTTGTCCCTCGACGCCCTCTCGATTTCGTCTCCGAGTGAGTCAAGAAGGTTTTGAATCTGTTCACATTTCCGCGCCCGCGTCACCAGCGTGTTGTCTTGTCGCGGCTGTTTGATTCGGTCGACCGTGTGAGCCAAAGCTCGGATGTAGGCAAGCGGTGCGACAAGGTGTTGAGGTGGGTTGCCGGTACGCCTGGCCGCCAGTGTCATCTCCTTCGTCTGCACGGCGAGCTGCTCTTGGAAGAGGACGAGGTAAAAGTCGGGGTCGACCGCTTTGAGACTGGTCGGCAAGAGCTTCTTGAATGCGATGACTGGATGCTGTTGCGGGTGGTCTGCATGAGAGGAGATCAAGTTCATTGCCGGTGCTTGGGCCGAGGTGGCGGTGAGTGTCGTGGTGTCCTTTGCGGGGTGAGCCATATCCTTGTCTGGATCAGCCGCAAGGGACGACGCTGACTCCAGGGTGTCAGTTGTGGCGGTACCGTGGGTTCCGAAGTTGCGAGAAGCCTCGTTGGCGGGATCCAGTACGTCGAAGCGGGACGGAACTTCTGCTGTGGGAATGACGTGATGCTTTCGGGCGGGATATTGTCTCAGCTGCGGCACGACGTATTTGGAGGGAGTACCGTCAGAGCGTGTGTCGTCCATGGAGTGGCAGCAGAAAGATTCTCTCAGAAAAAAAAAATTCCTGAGTTGAGGGCGAAGAGCTCTAGAGATTCAGACCAGGGAGATGACTTGAACCACCTCAAGATCGAACGATGGAAGTGTATGGAAGAGAGAAAAGAGAGAAGGAGAAGAAGAAAAGGGCAAAGGTGTTTTAATACCACATATTAATTGTTACGATTGTATTGTATTGTTTGCCTCAATAAGGTCCATTTCAGAGCCAGCGAGGTCCATCATGACCTGGAGGAGATCCGGACACCTGGAGAATACAGAAGTTTGCTTGGACCTGGACGGGATCAAACACGCATGCATGCATGACAAAGCCTACGGACCTGCCTATCGTCCTGCCTACTTACTTGTCCGCCTACCCTGTGATCCAGGTCTTTGTACAGACGAACGACGAGAGAATGAATACCCAATAATGATCGAATGTTGTTATTGTTGTTCGGAGGGAGTTGGGATTGTGGAGTGCTGGTGGTGGTGATACCTGGAGTCGCGCAAGGCTGAGTGAGAATAGGAGTTTGAGTAGTTGAATGAGAGAATGAATGAGAGAATGAATGCCACAATGCGAGTAAAACCTTTGATCGGGTTTCATCTTGAATGGGAATTCATATTCATACTCGTATTGATGGTTGTCATTCTGAATTTGATGGGGTCCTACTGCATGTAATAGGATCTAGTCGATATACGTCCAGGATCAACATATTATCTGAGCGTCTGTTCCTGTCTCAGTCCCAATGCCTGTCCACATCCGGATCTGGATCTGGATCCGTGCCCCTGGCCTTGCTTTTGACATGACATACTTCCGTACCCTGTTTCCACATACTCTCCCACAAACCCGAGATTCGAAATGAAACACACGCCCACATATCTCCTTTTGTCTTTGTCCTTAGTCCAGGTGACGAACAATGCCTGGCCTGGATGAACGAAGCCTGCAGAATTAACCTATGACCCTCCTCTGTCCCCCATCCTGAACAATATTACTGAGATACCCAAAGAAAGCAACAAAGAAACAAAGAAATATCTGTGCTGTGGGCATTATTTGCTGGGTTCTGTTCATCAGCTAGCCTGACTTCCGCACTGCACTGCACCGCACCACACTTCACTAACACGGACAGCATAGGCAGATTCATTTCAAACTTGGTGAGCAGGACTTGCTTCACTTCACCATAGATGAGATAGGAACGATGCACATCGTCGGGAAAGACACATTTCTTCACAGACATCGGAATCGGAGCTTCGCATCTCACGTCACACTCATCTCGCTCGCCCAGACACCCACAACAGAGGCAAAATCACGACGCAAAGACCAAGGGGAGAGCAAATCGTGTGGAATCCGAGCGCATAGAGAGCCACGGACACGAGATAGACGGAAATCACGCAGAGAATGGCAACGACGAATAAAACCTTGAGAGCCACTGCAAGGATTGTCACGGTGACAGAGATGTAGAGTCTGAGCTTCCAAAGGCCTTGGGGACGGCGGGTGGTCGGTGTTGCAGGGGTAACAGGGCAGTTGTCATGCTGAGCGTCTAGCAATTGTAGCGGTGCCGACGACAGCGATGGTGGTGATAGTGGTTGTGGTGGTGGTTGTGGTGGTGGTTGTGGTGCTGGTGATGGGATCATGTCCAGGATGACCTGGCGATAGACAGGGTACGCTCTCTCTAGGGGTAGCTTCCGCATATAGTTCCGGACGGGCGAGCGCGCTGCTTCAGTCATGATGACTTGATAGACTCGGTCGGCATGCTGGAGGAACTCCTCGATCTGCGGACGCAGAGTGGCCGGGTCTCCCTTCCTGCAGTTTTCGCGGATCTCATCTCCCGTGTACAAGAGCGCATTCCAGAACCAGACAACATGCTTTGTGAGCTTCAAGGGCTCCGCGTGAAGCCATCTCTGAAAAACCCCGACATAGCCAGTCTCTTCGGGGATCGGGTACGGTATGTCCGGCACGAGAGGCACACGTTTGTCTCGATAGTGCCGGTTGAGCACGTCAACGGTGAAATGAGCAACGATTCTGGCACCTCCAGACACCTCATAAAAGGGGACCTCCTCACACTTTCGCTTGCGTGGGACGAGGTAGGGTTGTGGGATCTTGTACAGCATGGCGGCGTCGGCGTCGAGGAAGTGTAGTCACCAAGGGAAAGTCTGGGTCGGGAGATGCTGGGGTGTTTCTTTCCAAGGTTACGTGTGATGGGGTTTCCGAGTGTTGGTGATAGATCGAGGAAGTAAGAATGGGATCAAGTCCGTGGCGGGAAATAACCCCAGCCGGCCAAGGCAGTATGATGTTAGCAGGCAGTTCTCTCGGAGCTGCCTTGGTAGAGGCAGCTCGCCTTTGATGGGTCATGACAAGGCAGTCAGCTCTGCCTGCCTACCCTTCTACCGGGGACAGTTGATCACTCGAGATCGAACAAAGAACAACAAGGAGAGATGGTGAAGCTGCCAGGCTTCTGGAATGGGTCAGTCAGTGGTCGATGACATATTGAAGGGAAACCATTTCTTAGGTACAGCACTTGCCAGGCTAGATACTAACGAGAGGCCATGATATCAGATCATGGGCCAATAGTTGAGAGCACCCTTGGACATCCTTGAGTCCTTGAAGACTTGCCTCCCATTCCATCTTCTGATCTGCGTGATGAAACCCCCAGCACCATCTCTTCCGCCAAAAAAAAACCCAGCACATATCCTTAGCCTCTTGCTATTGGTGACGCAGCTCCAAAATCCCCGGTGCTCAGCTTAATCCTTACCCCCATTCTCATTCCATGATTCTTTGATATCTCTCACCCTCTTCCAGCATCCAATAAGTCAAGTCTTTCCCACATGGCCAAGCAGCCGAAAACCATCGCACACTTGAGTTTGACTTTCAAATCCGGGAAAGCGATGGCGATAAGCAGGCAATATTTCGAGTGGTGGGCGAAGTGAGGGAGTGTTGCGAAAAGAAGACATAGGAGGACAAGGTCGAGGAACTGACGAGGGTTGCCGATGAATAGGACGCATGTCGAGACGCAAGCAATTATCGAGAGGACCGACACTTGGTTTTCGGTATGGTCGACGACAGACGCGACGCCCTTGTCGTGAGTCGTAGATTTGTGTGTCCTTCGGACTCCGAGCTCTTCATCGTCACGCGCACCACCGCTGTATGTTTCGACGCCCCCATTACTTGCAATCGTGAAAGGCCCTATCCATGCGCCGGGGATACTGCTGAGTAAGTGGCCCACGTCAGGATGCGTTTCGGGAGTCTCATGTCCGTCCGGAATCTCGTCGACCCAGTCCTCAGCTTCGCCGTCTGCGTCGGGTGATAAGCAGAATCTGCTTGGGCCTTCAAACCAAGTCTCAACCTTTTCCCGTCGGATGGGAGAGAACTGCTCTATGCGAAGTGATCGTCGTGTTTCCGGGGAGATTTGGTGGTCTGAAAAGCCATCGTCACAATGAACACTGCTCATGTTGACGGAGTACGTCAAGATTTGATGAAGGTGTTTCAAAACCGGGACGGGGGAATGCTCGACTTGATGACTTTGGTTAGACGCGAGAATTCACGCAGTAGTGACTAGTGTGGGATCTTGGTGAGGCAGCGGCAAACAAAAAATCTCATTCAATTCATAGCACGGCAGGAAAGGATGGAAACAATGCCGACCAAGTGCATTACCTGCGGCAAATGTAAGCAACGTCAAGACTTTCGCAAGAAGCCACCTGCACCACGAGAAGATGCTCATTGACACAAAAGCTGTGCATGAAATCTGGAAGAGTCTTCTTTGATAACAGTAAAAAATTGAGGGTGGGCAGTTATGTACAACTTTCTCTTTTGAAACGAAGCCTACATGTCTTCCGAGGCAGTGGCACCAGTGATAATCTCGACCAATTCTCCGGTAATGACAGCTTGTCGGGTTCTGTTGTACAAGATAGTAAATCTGCCAATCATGTCTCCGGCGTTCTTGGACGCGTTCTGTTAAAACCTTGTGTCAGCGCAAGTATCAACGTCAGATATCAGACGACAACTCACATCCATGGCATTCCGTCTGGCGGACTGTTCACAGGCATGGCCTTCGGCAAGAGCCCAGTAGAGAGAGTTGGCCAAGGCATACTCTCGGAGGTTGGCGAGAACTTCGTCATCAATCTCAAAAGCAGCAAAGTTGGGAGATTGAGTGATGGCCTCCTCGGAATATGCTTCGACCGTGACAGGCTCATAGCTCTGAGCGTTGATGAACTTGTTGTAGAGAATCTTGACGCTGGCGTATTCTTCCGGGAGCAGGACGAGTTGGTCGGCAATAGCTTGGGCATCGGCAAAGGTAGGCACATCTCTTCCAATACCAGCAAAGCTCAACAAAACATTCCTGGGGTTGGAACGACCAATTTGGGCCTTGCACTTTTCACCAATGATGACAATGTCGAGGTTGGGGTCCTGTTCCAGCATTCGACGAGCGGTACGCGACAGTCCGGAATGGATACCACCGCAGAGGCCTTTATCGGAGCTGGCAACAACCAACAGGGTCTTCTTCTCCTCCAATGGCTTGGTTTCCGCCTCTTCAAAGACCTTGTTTGACGTTTGCCCATAGGATCTCGATTCGGTCATGGCCTTTTGCGCACGAGTAAGCTTGGTCGAGGCAACGATTTTCATGGTCTTTGTGATCTTTTCAATGTTTCGAATGGACTTGAGACGACCTGCGCACCGTTAGCGATCGCAATCGAGCTCCCTGTCTTAAATTCCATACTCTCGATTTCTCGTAGCGTGGCATAACCGGCGACCTGGGGAACAGCCGTCCTGGTGATATATCAGTCAGGGTTATTCTAGCTCCTGAGATTTTGCACCCGATTGAACTCACTTTGCAAGGGCGGCATTGCCAGCCACGAGGGCCGGTCTCACAGCTCTGGACAGCATCATGGTGCAACTTGGCTGACCACGAGGCCGTAAGGGAGCAGTGATGTGATGGAGAGATGAACTGGATGTTGAGGGAGAGGAGATTCGGGAGGTGCGAGGGCAGCTGGTCAATGAACAAACTGAGGTTCCGATCAGAGCTTCAGTGGTGGGAAGACACGCTAGCCTAATTTGGACTAGTGCGCTTGGAGAACAAAATCGTCGATACAACCGAATCGGAAGTGGGCAATCAATGGCCTGTTGCCTCTCCCTCTTCCCTCCCAGAACGAGCCTCACGAATGAAGTGAGTGGATAAGTGGTGGATTGTGCTGCTCTCTGACTTTCCCTCATTCTATTTTGCTACTCGGCCTCGCCCATTCCCATTCTTCTCATCCCATTCCCTTCACCTCTTCTTTCCTCTTCTCTCATTGTCTCTCTCTTAAATACCAACTCAACTTGTCATTCAGTCACTCCTCGGCATCTCCCTCGCTCGCCTCCTCGAATACCAACCACAGGCACGGTCTCCCTTCGTCGCTATCGAGGTCTCGCCCACCATTCCGATTTTCCGAGGCGCGTTTTGGAGGTCACTTCAATCCGTTGCCTCACATTCCTACTCACGTCCACCTCTATTATTTGCTGTTCCACCTCTACAATTTGTTTTCGCGAGGTCACTGCGCCCCATCTCTTATCCCACGCGCCTCATGGATTCTTCCGACGATGATATGCCCCTCGCGGGCTCAAGGAGGGCAAACGGCACAAACGGAGGTACGCTCTCCCTATTGTAACCAGTGGCTCCAGGCATCCTCGTTCGCGTTTGTTTTCTCAACTTTCTATTATTCGCTTCTCAACGTTTGTCATCTAACTGACACTACAAGCAGTCACGCCTCCTCTATCTTCCTCCAAAATCCCGTCCTCACTTGACGCTGCAATGGATCGTCAGATTCCCACCAACGGCGAGGTCGTGCCGGGTATTTCCATGGCCAATGGAGAGGTAAAGGTAGAAGAGCTATCACCACCTGGCAACAAGGATAGCGTCCCCAATGGCGTCGCTGCCGCAAAACGCAAGGCCAGGGAGAGTCTCACGCGACCATCTTACGCCGAGCCTGAAAGCAGCGACGACGACTTACCACTGGTATGCGATCCCAATAATTCCAGAATCTGCCTCTTGAGAGAACATCCCGGCTGATGCGGATGCAGAGCAAAAAGAGAAAGGTCGCAACCGCTGTTGATTCAGATTCCGACGACGCCCCTCTCGCTTCCAAGGCCCAGGCAAACGGCAAAGTTGTGCAGAAGCCCCCTCGAGTTTCAGCTCATCAAATTGGTGAAGAGTCCGACTCAGACGTGCCTCTTGGCCAGAAGCTAGCCAAGCAAAAGCAGAAGATCGAAAAAGCAGCAGAAAAGGAAGCAAAGCAGATTCGAAAAGAGGAGAAGGAGACTGGGAAGGCACCCAAAAAGGCCGTCCCGGCAAAGAGAGTAAAAAAGGAAGAATCCAGTGACGACGAAAAGCCTCTATCAAAACGTGCATCTACAGCCGCTACCAAGAAAACGAAAGCCGAACCATCTAAACCTGCTAAAAAGGTTAAGATAGAAGCTCCTCCTTCTGCGAAGAAATCCAAGGTAATCAAAAAGGAAGAGAGTGCCGATCCCGAGGAGGAAGACGACGAAGAAGACGAAGTCAAGTGGTGGGAGGATCCAACTAAGGGCGATGGAACAAACAAGTGGGAGACTTTGCAGCACAATGGTGTCGTCTTCCCACCCCCTTACCAACCACTTCCTCCAAATGTCAAGATGAAATACGACGGTGAACCCATTACCCTCCATCCTGATGCAGAGGAAGTGGCTGGTTTCTTTGGTAGCATGCTCAACTCGACGCACAACGTGGAAAATCCTACCTTCCAGAAAAACTTCTTCAGTGACTTCAAGGACATTCTAAAGAAGACTGGCGGTGCAAAGAACAGAAATGGGGAGAAGGTAGAGATTAAGGAATTCTCAAAATGCGACTTCAGACCAATCTTCGACCACTACGAAGCGGAAAGGGCGGCGAAAAAGGCCTTGTCCAAGGAGGAGAAGAAAGCTCTCAAAATAGCAAAAGACGAAGCCGAAGCGCCGTACATGTACTGCGTTTGGGATGGCAAGAAACAAAAGGTTGGCAACTTCCGAGTTGAACCTCCTGGTCTTTTCCGCGGCCGAGGTGATCATCCAAAGACGGGCAAAGTCAAGACGAGGGTTATGCCTGAACAAATCACGATCAACATTGGTGAAGAAGCCACCGTCCCTACTCCTCCAGAAGGCCACAAATGGAAGGAAATCAAGCACGACAAGCAAGGGACGTGGCTGGCAATGTGGCAGGAGAACATCAACGGCAACTACAAGTATGTCATGCTGGCTGCCAACTCGGACGTCAAAGGCCAGAGCGACTACAAGAAGTTTGAGAAGGCTCGTGAACTGAAGAAGCACATTGATCGAATTCGCAAAGATTATCGGAAGGAACTCAAATCAGAACTCATGGCAGATCGGCAAAAGGCAACCGCCATGTACCTCATCGATCAGTTCGCTCTTCGTGCCGGCAATGAAAAGGGCGACGATGAGGCTGACACAGTCGGTTGTTGTTCTCTGAAATATGAGCACATTACCTTGAGAGCTCCGAACACGGTTATCTTCGACTTCCTGGGCAAAGACAGCATTCGCTTTCATGAGGAGTTCGAGGTGGACCCGCAGGTCTTCAAGAATCTCAAGATCTTCAAGAAGCCGCCGAAGAGTGAAGGAGATGACATATTCGACAGGCTCACTACGACTCAACTCAACAACCATCTGAAGAACTACATGCCTGGTTTAACCGCCAAGGTCTTCCGTACCTATAACGCATCTTTCACCATGGCCAAGCTACTTTCCGAGATGAAATCTGAAGGTACAATTGCTGAAAAGATCAAGGATTACAATGACGCGAATCGACGAGTGGCAATTCTTTGTAACCACAAGCGAACGGTGGCAGCCGGGCATGCGAATCAGATGGAGAAATTGAGTGACCGAATCAAAGGCCTCAAGTACCAGCAATGGCGAGTCAAACAAATGATGCTCGACATCGACTCGAAGATCAAGAAGAAGAAGGGCGCAGAGTATTTCGAATTGCCCGACGACCTGGATGAGGCATGGATCCAAGAACACCAGGCTTTCTTGTTGGAGGAACAGAAGATGAAGATCACCAAAAAATTTGAAAAGGACAATGAGAAGCTCAAAGCGGAAGGAGAGAAAGAGATGAAGCCGAAGGAGCTCGAAGAACGCTTGAAGGCTGTCAAGGAGATGGAGAAGAGGTTTCAGAAGGAGAACAAGACGAAGAAGGTCGAGCCTGAAGGCAAGTCCCCGACAATTGAGAAATTGGAAGAGCAGGTCAAGAAGTTCGACGCGAGAATTGCTACTATGTCCGTCCAGGCGGAGGACAAGGAGAACAATAAAGAGGTGGCATTGGGAACTTCAAAGATCGTAAGTCCTGGACTACACGTGCTCTCTCTGTCAATCAGGCTTTGCTAACCATATCTTTCTTGCAGAACTACATCGATCCACGGTTGACGGTGGTTTTCAGCAAGAAATTTAATGTTCCCATCGAGAAATTCTTCTCAAAGACACTTCGTGAAAAGTTCGAATGGGCGATCAAGTCCGTTGACGAGAACTGGGTCTTCTAAGTCTTGTCCGATCGATTTGGTCATGCGGACTTGAGCAACGATCGGACAGCACAGGCCATGACCAAATGGTCGCATTTCAATGTTGGCGACCTACTACAATCTACCGACATCCAGCATGGTCGAAGACTAGACGAGTATCATACGAGAACAATGCACCATTACGAATACCATCCACCACACAGTCCCATGACGTATCTTCAAGTGCTGTGGCGTGGGATGCAAATGGTCACGACAGATGCATGTTTCCGGCACGGAGACTTCCCTCAGCAGGTGTTGTTCCAGGCTGCAGGGGGTTGGGCTGTCGCCTATATGCTCGGAAATGCAGACAGTGCATGTAGCTGAAGGACGACTCTCTCTGTCCTCTACATTACCAACGAGCTTTTTTTCATGGAATGTCTTTGCGTCTGGTTTGCATCATTTCAGAGGGGAGGAAAGGGGAGGCGAGAGCTTTGCTTATTTAGCTTGCATTTGGGGTTTATTAGCATGGCACCGACCCAGGACGGCGGCGGCATCGTTCACCAAGCACATACTTGCACACCAGCACTGTACAGTTCAACGCAGCTCAGGCAGCACAGTACAGATCTAGAAGAGTTAGAAGAAGCTACCTACCTACATACATACTTAACTAGAGCCCTCCTAGGAGACACCTATCCATGTATATATCTATACCTACTCGTACAATATACAGAGGGAAGTCAGATCGATCTATAGACGTCTAAGAGAGGTTCTGTACAGAAAGGAGAAAGAGGTATACAGGATGTATGCTCTCTCTCTCTCTCTCGCCCACGCACTTAAAGACAGACATACTGCCGCATGAAATGGATATGCATGGATATGGATATGGCTCATGAGTAAACTCAAGAGTATGTGTGATTAAAAAGCATATATGATTGACAATTTTGCTCGTAGCTCAGCTAGAAAGGAAAAAGACAGACACTACTACTTAAAAATTCTTTCGAGCGTCCAGCCCCAATCTGATCCCTGTACAGTCAAGTTTCAAAGTCAAAAAGTCAAAGTCGAGTCAAGTCAATGCCATCAACATCCACGACCAAACAACCACAACCACAATGATAATCACAACGATAACCACAAGCGCAACGACGACGACGATCTATCCTTCTGCCTTCCGCTCCCTTTTCGCATTCCAACATCATCAATGTCCAGTCTCGTCTAGAGACCATGTGGGCAAGGGTGTGTGATGTACGGAAAAGGCCCAGAAGCAGAACGATGATTATCATCCTCTCTCGTCTCCTCAACAGCCTTGTCCTTTCACTGCACCAGGCAGCATCCCTCTGCTACCTCTCAACCAAGCCCAGCCTAGTCATGTCCCTCTCACTCCTCATAACC